CGTTTGATTTTATTAACTCCAAAATGTCTAAAATCTCTTTTAAAGTCAAAATGTATTAAAAAAAAATAAAAAAAAAACAAGTTGAGGAAGCCAGATGTGACACCCCAAGCAGAGGTGGAAACTCTGAGAAGAAATAAATAATGTGTGCTGGTGGTCAGCTCGAGCTTTTACAGGAAACGGCTGGCTTTTAAGCAGAACTGCGACATTTGACAACTGTGACATCATAGCCAGATATTTTTATTTTACTTTACCTCCAAGTGGCTGGTGTAGGTTTTGCTTGACGGACGCATCTGTTCAAAGCAAACAGGAAGCAGGAATGATAAAAATGAGCTAAAACGCTTAAATTTTCCGCGTTCTTAAACATGATGGAAAGACTCTGAGCTACACTTGTTCACGAAACACATAAATACACAGATATGAAGAGAAGTGATCGTTAGTATATTTAGTAAAATCCTAAAATGTCTGTGCCAAATGGACGTTTTTTGTGTCTTACCCTCAGTTTGCAGTATAAAACGGTGAGAATGACGCCGTACAGAATGAGCACGCCGTCCAGGATGTAGCAAAGGTTCATCTCTCCGGTGAGCTCTGCACACACACAGCTCATCGTTAAGCATCCTCACCTCCAGCAGGAACACGACACCTCCCGACCTAAACTCCATCCGCAGCTGGTTTCAAACTGCGGCCTCCCGTCAGCGACGACGTGACCTGGAACTCACCGGCAGACTGGAGCAAAGAGCCGCTTCACGGTTTTCTCTCGAAGTCGTCTCGAAGAGTCTGAGGAGCCGCAGCGAGCGAGTAACTAACAGGAAGTCAAGGGCTCTCTGTCCGTGTCGAAGCTGCGAAAACCACACGCCCACCACATCAGCACAGAAGTTCCACAGAAAGTCTTTTTAGAAAAACTCTCAGCTTCTTACGGGCCAAGTTTAACGCAGCGGGGTTCAGAATAACTGAAACCGTCGAAGCAGTGATGAAAATGTACTTTTACTAGAGTCAGCCAAAACAGCCGAAGTGTCTGAAGGTAGACCGACAGCGGACGAGCCCTTTGGGATCAAAACGTGGGACAATTTTTACATCTTGTGCTCAAATTTGATTCAAATGCGCCGATAAGCGTTTTGTTTACGTTGAGCGCGTACCCGCATTTCATAACTTTCTATCAACGTGTCAGAAAACTACAGGAGTAAACGTTTTCAAACTGAAAAAAACAAGGGACAGAGAATAATTAAAAGGAATAAATGGTTTAATAATAGAAAACACGCTATACAAGCTACAGTTACAAAAAAGAGGAACACAAATTACAAATTTTCTTTACAAGCTGCTTGGTTTTTTTTTTTTTGTCTTTAAGTACAAACATTCAGAAAGTTGCAGCATCATAACTTAGGCACCTTAAAAACAATTTAAAAAAAACTCAGCTGTGAGCCTAAAATGAGTTTCTGCATTTTTTTTTTTTTTTAAAGAGTTTGACATTTTGGTGTTTTATACTGAAATATGAGGGGCTTTTATTGTGAAAGGCAAACGGTTGAAGGGCTCGTTCGCCGGTCTGACCCACAGCTGGGCGTTTAAACCTGCAGAAAGAGGAGTCGGCTGCTCCTTCGGGTCTGCAGGACGAGGCGAGGCGGCGATCGGCTGCACGGAAACTTACAATCACACGTCTCTTATTCTGAAAGTCTGATCAGAAAGCAGAGCAGCTCCATCAGATGTGTTGAATCCACACTGATCACATGACGTTTGTGTAGCCCTTTGCATTTCCTCCAGCAAGAACATTTAGCATTGAGAAGTACAGAGGGTTAAAACTAACAAAGGGGGGTGTTTTCTGACACAAGAACCCGTTATGGATAAAAATAAAAATAAACGCGTGGGATAGAAGCTGAAACCAGCGCTGGGCGCATCGTTACTTTACGTGTTCTTATATAAAATGTACGTTTCTTTTCTTTAAACTTGATCCACCGTCTAATAAAGATGGCCTCCCCTCCTGCTGTCACGTCTTAACTACGGGTTTCTGCCAGTTTGACATTTTCCCAAGGTTAAAAAAAAAAAAACCCACAAACTGGTCCAAACGTCTGATTCTATGATCATAAAACAAGAGATTTACAAACTTTTTTTTTTTAACTTCTGAACAAGAAAGCAGACAAAGCTGACCATCACCAGTTTCAAAATAAAAACGTTGCTTCTTAGTTTGCTTAGAATGACGACCAGCCATCGACGTATCACAATCAGCATGTTCATCCTCGATAACAAGACGCGATGACGTCATAATCCAGCAGGTTATCCAAGGACCCAGTGGGGTCCCGACATCACTTATGGCCACTACTTCCACAGAATCTTTAAAGCGTAACCTAAATGGTTAAACTGTGTAGTTATTTAGGAGATAAATGTTGTTTGCATGTCAAACAACATTTTGACAAAAACAAAGACTCTGCCCTGACACATAAACATGAAAACATCTGGATAAATACCAGTAAGAGTTATTTATGATGCTGGATTGAGCGCGGTGATGCAGCGCATGTTGCGACCCCCCCCCCAGAGTTCTGCTCATTATTGTTTTTCTTCTTAAAACAGAACAAATAACTTATTTGGAACCACTTCCTGGTCACGGTGGTTTTATTAACGCCTTGTAAACACTTTTTAAAGCATTATTCATTCATAAAAACTGTTCGTAAATCGAAGCCGGTTCACTATGTTGCCAAATCAAAACGCCTTCAATCAGGTAAATATTGTTCACGTTAATTACTCGGCAATAGATTATTGTTTTTACCAAAACAAGCTCAGTGACCTCGTGAATTTAATGCCAAACGTTTTAAATTTAAAACCTAAATAACGACAAAATGATTGAAAGTATCACCGCCCGCTTGTGTGTGAACCGTGTTTATTAACGCTTTATAAAGTGTTTACAAACTCTGTTATAAAAAGGTTCTTTGTAGGAAGTGCTACCACGCGTCTGTTCTCCAGCTACCGTATTTTTCGGACAATAAGGCGCATTTAAAATGTTCTCAAAAATCAACAGTGAGCCTTATAGTCTGAAAAATACGGTATGTAAAAAAACTCTGTCCCGTTGTGAATATCGGGCGACATCGGAGCACATCGAGCGTTTAAGAGGATCCGACTGCTGATTGCCTTTTATTTCCCACATTGCCAACAATTCCCACTTCAGGACCAAAAGTTATTTTGATAAGTTTAAACACAACTCGGTTCATTTTGGTCTCCTCGCTTCCGAAACACTTCCCTGCGTGACCTCACCGGCTACAAATAGCTCCCCGTACCCACGCAACTTACTCAGTTCTGAGTAATATCTGCTAAAATCTAAAGATGCAAGAAAAAATTCTCACGGTGAACCATTTTAGGCTGTAGCTATAAATAAATCTGGGCGCCTGGATTTGAAAATGACGCCAGCTTTATAAAATCTTCATCCAAATAAGATGCAAATCATACAATGAGCTGAAAATGTTCTTCGTTCTTGCTAAAACAGGTCCTAGTAGTAAAAAATTTAAAAAAGCTGCATGTGTAAAAACCATTATGAGCCTAGAGTAGCAAAAAAAAAATAGGAATGTACATCCAATCTTCTTAAAGTCACATTAGAATGGACTCACAGCACATAATGCTACATTCTGCAGGTTAAAAAGAATCGCCGTGCCGTGTCGGAGAAAACGACAGAGAAGCAGCCGAGCTCCTGTCCTCTGTTTACAGACACCAGACAGGAAGTGACAGCTGTGATGTAATCGCCACTTCCTCTGTTGATCGTGGGTCGAGTCAGCACAGAAATGTAGTTCAGTGGTTACAGCGAGACGAGAGGCAGAACGGGTCCGCTTCAGTTCGAGTACGGGACGTCCACAGCGTGCCGCCGAGGCTTCTGTTCATTTGCAGGAAAGTAAAACGACGGTTCCTCGCTCTGATTGGTTTCTCTGTCAAAGATGGAGGAGGACTGATTGGACGGCTGTAAAGAGCCCCGTCTCGTCCAGCAGAGGCGGGATTTGTTCGCCCGTCTTCACACCGAGGTCTCCGACTGAAGCCTCATGACAAACTTGTGGCTCTTCGGGTCGATGAACTCCTCCCCGAGCCGCAGGAAGGGAAGAGGTGTCACCGTGACGACCAGGGAGAAGTCCAGGCGCCGCAGGGAGAAGACTAGACCCTGACGGAGGGCGGAGGTCACCGGCTCCTCGCTCACCAGAGTCCACTGGCGCCCTCTGCCGTTCTGCTGCTGGTACTGCATGGTGGGGCCGGGGCTGAGGTACCGCTCCAGGAAGGCCTGAGGAGGAAGGAGGTGCAGGTTAATCACCTTGAAAAAGGGGTTACATTTGTTTACCTGATGTTCAAGGGTTTGTTTACTAAAAATTATTGATTGCGTTCAAATATGAGAAACTAATACCTGAATTTTAACAATCATTCATGTTGTGGAATGTAAAGTCTCTGAAATTACAAAGAAAAACAAACAAAACAAACAAAAGCTAAAACATTTTCCTCCTTTTGCTGTTTTCTGACGGTCTTCCTTAGAATCCACTTTTAATGCCAGAGTTTTAGACTAAGATCCATCCATCCATCCATCCATCCGCTTATCCATCCATCCATCCACCCACCTATCCATCCATCCATCCATCCATCCATCCATCCATCCATCCATCCATC